TTATTATTATTATTATTATTATTATTATTATTATTATTATGAAATCATATATTTTCTTTTTTTTTTCTTATGTTATAAGAGTGAGTTTGTAATCATTTTATCTGTGTAGTAATTTGTTTGTTGGCACAGTATGTTGAACAGGCAAGAATACCACGACATGTTTTCAATTACACATTTGTAAATCAGTGCATCTGCAAGTAAAACACTTCATTAAACTGAGACACGGGGTAGGATTAAATAAGTATTCATTTCTTCCTACTCCCTTTCAAACAGAAAAGTAGTGGTATTTGGGTTCTTGGTTATGCATGCATATGCTTTATCTTTTTTGTTCTACTGATTGCTTGTTTTTTTATTTTTTAATCAGTTTGAAATAAAATTTTAAATAAATAAAATAAWTTTTTTTGCTGTGTAAGTGGGAGGCATTATTAAACTTATTAGTTCTAGCTTTTAGAACCCATCTCGCTGCGTTTAGCCTTTAGCTGCTGTCTTGCTGCATACAGGTTTTAGCACCTGTTGTGTTACTTCTAATGTTACTGTGTTGATAATTATAGTTCTTAGCTTGCTCTTTGGTCGTTTAGCCAAAGTATTGCTGGTTTTACTTTTAGCTAAAGGTTTGCTAATTTCAATTTTTGTTTTGCAGATTTTAATATTTAGCTACTGTTTTGCTAATTAAATGCTTAGCTTTGTTTTTATTTCAGCATTTGTTTTGACAGTTTTAACTTTATTGATTCAGTTTAAACTTTTTCATGGATTAACTTCTGTTTTCACCGTTAACTCTCTGATCAGTGCTGAGCATGTAAAGTTTACAAGTGAAGACTTCTTGCTTCGCACGTCCAAGCTTGTTTGTCATACCAGCATCACTCAGCAGTCAATTCCTGACATTTTACTTCTCTTGTGTTTGTCAAATTCAGTAAGGTTACTTTTAAACATACTTCATACTGAGTAAAATGGCCTAAAGCATCAGATATGCCCTGAAAACGATCTAAGGAACCACATTCGTGATCATCTGTAGGTCCGTGACACAAAGTAATGTGTGAGAAACATCACTGAACAGGTCCCTCTGACTGCTCTATAGCTTATCACCCATTTACCAAACCACAACCACACACGTCACCATATCAAACAAAATCTTGTGTGAGCGCTCTACAGTTGTAGTTCAAAGCCAAGTTGGAACAAGTCCAAGCTCAGTGTCAAGACTGTTGGGCTCAAAAGCAGGAAAAGGAGAAAAAATGTTCAACTGCAGCCAAATGTAAACAATCTCCACATATAGAACAGAAAAAAATAAAACATTGAAAAACACTGGCTGTTGCAACAAGCGGTTTTATCTGCAGTATTGAGCGTTTGTTTGCAGACGTTTTCTTGTGCTTCAGAATGCAGAAGATATTTCCAGAAACAGGAAGGAAGTCTTTACACTGCTGTCTAATGCCGCGATCATCTTTTCTCTCCCCCTACATCTGTCACTTCTTACCTTTTCTAAAATTCAGATACACATTTTACACCAATATGCAATAAAAATACATGAAATAAGTTMAAGCAGGAGCACAAAAACCATTGGTCTTTTTCCTGGAATTAAAAAGAATAGAACCAACACACAATGTTGATTCCTGACAGGACCCATGACGTTAAATCCTCACTGTTGTGCTTTACAAAATAAATTTTATACACACATAATCAGACATTAGCGACACAGAAGCACCATGTTGTGAAACTGCATTACTGATTTAAAACAAAACAAGAGTATCTCTGTAATCCAATAATTGACATAATGTCATATTTTGATGACATAAAACAACAGCTGGTGCCGAGTAAATCCAGGCACAAAGACCTAAAAGAGCTACACCCAATTATTATGGAAACTGCATCATCTCTTTTTTTTAACTCTCCCAGACTGGCCACAAATCCTCCTCGTGTAGAAACAGTGATAAGAAAAACAAGATGGATTTTCTTTGTTCAAAGCCTCCAAATCCCATCATCATGGTTCAACCGTGCAGCCTCCATCAGCAGACAAACAGCACCAGAAATAACCATTATTACAGAATATAGCTACAGCCTTGGGTTTACACTGCAGGGTCATTACTTTCTGCAGGAAAACATAAAAAATGGTTTCCTAACTCCCTTTTCTTTTCTCCCAAAGCACGCATTTCCAGTGATCCCAAAATACATCGTGGTTTCCTGAAGGATTTTCAGGGAATGAAACCCGATGGACAAACAGTCATTAAATGTGGCCAAAAGATTCAAACAACAAAAACTGCCCGAGCAAGAGCGTTCACACATCTCACGCTTCTCGTTACAGCCAAACGGCTTGTAGTGTTTGTTTTCATCCTGTAATGTTTGGCTTTGTGCTGTAATTCTGGGAGCGGGAAAAATCTGTCAACAAATACGGCTCATTTCACCACCCATTACGAAGCTCTTAAAGAATGTGACATTTTCCGTATTGTGCTCAGACCGTCCGCACTAGGACTCGAGGCTCGCCAAATCTGTCTGACCGGTCGCCWGTCTGAACTGACCCATTTACAGAGACGGTGATGGAGCTCGACGGCGTGCTTTATGTAGGCCATGGTTAAAAACGAGGGCTCTGTCTGTGACTTATGACCATGATGTGTGTATTTTCATGCAACCTCAATGATGCCAGTGCTACTTTAAGTGTCTGAAAGGACAAGAACAAACCCCTCAGGCTTGTTCTTTTACATTTATTAACATTTCTAACCAAGAAATACATATATTTTATACCTTGCTGCAACTGTCACCCATTCTTGGACAAATCATTTTATGAAAACAGTCACACTAATGAGAAATCCAGTATGTGTGTACATTAATTTATTACATATTTAAATAAAAATAACTATTTTATGCACTCAGACTTATGATAATTTCCACCAACCACATATAAAAAAACCTACAGTTTAATAAGTGGTGTGTGAGAAGAAACTGAATCCATCATTTAATATTCTATAGTTTGACTTTTTTGATTTCTCATCTCACAAACAAATTACCAACAAATAAGGGTTTGTTTCATAAGGTTTTGAAAACTTTACTCCTCATTAGATAAGCAGAAAATACTACAGAGATTAGTAATTACCATGTTAAAATTATTAAAGAAACATTTGTTTTATTATCTCCTCTCTGTTTTACAGCGGAGGCATCACAAGAGTCAAAAGTTTACCACGTCTGTTAGCGTCATGAGCTCAGCAGAGCATCGGAAAAACAGATTAAGGTCAGCTGAGGGCGTGTGGGTTTCCTAAATCTTGTGATGTGTAACTGAATACAACCCCTCATGCAATCGCRGCAACATCGAGGAGGTTCAATTTAATGAGATGAGAGATTAGGTGACAGGTTTTAACTGTGTACAAGCTAAGAATTCTTGGATAGAAATAACCATGTGTTACCATCTGAATTCGTTCTTTAAACTGCACCATCTCAACTTGTTTTGTTGGTCAGATAAAAGTAAACAGTAACAAGTTTTCAGCAATACATGTCAAGCATTAACCTCTGTTAAAAATATGAGAGCTGCATTCCTTTTTCTCGACATTTGGTCTTTGGAATGTCTGAGAAACCACGTGAGCAGGAGAAGTCCTTGAACTCGTGATGTGTAACGTTAGCTGCTCTCCTCTATCTGGGCGCTCCACATTTCTTGAAGAGAGCAGGTCTTTGCACGGGGTAGGGGTGCACGTTAGGGATGTCCCGATACCACTTTTTCACTTCCGATACGATACCGATATTACAACTTTGAGAATTGTCCGATACCGATATTAATCCGTTACCATAACAGTACAAGTCACACACTTTTACCTATTTTGTAATGTAAAATCTTAGAAAAGTCTTGATCAGGTCAAACAGTGAAAAAGAGTAGGTATGAGAAAAACTGATCCATTTATTTTTAACCAATGGATGACACATTTTAAACTGAAGAACATTCTACAATTTAATAAAATAAATTTTAACACACTGAAAAATAAAACATAATAAAAACAAAATGTTCTTTTAAAGTATAAAATAACAATTCAAAATCACTTTGGTTATTGTTTTACTACCTGTTAGCCTGGTGCTGCTTTATGGTGGAAAAAACTGAGGGTGGGGACAAAACAAAACTCCACATTATTGTC